GGAGCCGGAGCCGCTTGAGCACCTCGGGGAACTTCTCGTGCTTGCCCAGGTGCGGCAGCTTGACGTGCACGCCCGCGCGCAGCCCGGTGCCCAGGTTGGAGGGGCAGGTGAGGATGTAGCCCAGGTGCGGGTTCCACATGAACTCGTAGTTCCTGGCCTTGAACAGGCTCTCGATCTGGGGGCGGAGGCGCGGTCTTCAGAGGGGGCGCCCGGCCGGCAGCCCCGAGGGAGGGGTGGCTGGGGACCCCGGCCAGGCGCGCGCACGCGGAGCCCCACCTGGGTGAGGCCCGTGCAGAAGCGCGTGAACACCTCCCTCATGTTGCCCCCCTTCTGCATGGAGATGACGCGCAGGTGGTCCTCCTCGTTGATCCACACCAGGAAGGTCTTGTTGTCATTGTGCCTGCGGAGGGGGGGGCGGCAGGCCGCAGCTCCAAAGTGACCTCAGTCCCCCAACGACCTCAGCCCAAGGACCGCGCCCCACCCGGCGAGGGCCAGCCCGGAGGGGGGGCGGGCGGAGCCCACGCGCGGTCCCGCCGCCAGCGAGGCCGAGCCGCGCAGGCGCCCTGCCGACGCGCCTGCATCATGGTCATCGGGCTGCGTGGGGGGGGGCGGGGAGGGGAGCAGAACAGGGAAAACAAGCCGCTCCGGCTCCCGGGAGAGCGGAGACGCCGGGAGAGCGGCGCCGGTCCCACGGGGAGACTCGGAGACGGCCGCGCCCGCCCCGCCCTCGGCGGCCCGCAAGCACCTGCCACGCAGCCCGGACTCAGCTCCCCCGCCCCCGCCCGCGCACCGGGAGGGCGCGGAGGGCTGGAGAGAAGGAAGGAAAAAGGGGGGCGAGGAGGACGGAGGGGGGGACGAGGAGGGGGGAGGGCAGGGACGAGGAGGACCGGGCGGCCCGTACCAGATGCCGCGGGCATCGGGCCAGTCGCGGGCCATGCCCGAGGCCAGCAGCAAGGGCGACACCGGCTTGTCGAAGAGGAAGTGGTCGTCGATGAGCTGCTGCTGCTCCGCCTCGGTCATGCTCTTGAGCGAGTAGTAGCGGCCGGCCAGGTCGCCCTCCAGGCT